CTTTCTTCCCTATGATGAAAGGCTCTAGCAGTGGGGAAAGGAGATTTTCCCCACTACCTACTCATTGCAAGAGCCTTTCACTGTTATGTGTTGCTATACATATAGTGCCTGTACTCTACATGTCCCCATAAGAGTAGACATAGCCAAAGATGATCTTCAGGATACAGATATGAGTAACAGGGAGGATGCTCGTATTGCTTGAAAAAACTGTTTTTCCTTCTATGCTAAGTTCTCGCTTCACTTCTGCTATTTACATTATTACTCTTAAAAATTTCTCCTGTACAAAAGCTCTCCATATGCACATGGAAAATATGTATTGAGTGCCCAGCCAAAGTTATCAATTAGAGTTCACCTAGAGGTGAGTACAGCTGGTCATTGAAACGTTGAATATTTTTTGACCAAGAGATCGACCGAAGGGATTAGTTATTTGGTATATGCAATCAACCATAGGTTAGTCGGTGGAAGTGGTCAGGTACAATGAGCAGTCAGCTGATTAGCAGACTGCTAGCTGCAAATGAGATGAATATTTACCATGCAGATGAATGAATGGTAGTCTGTCTGGAGAGCTCAGCTGAACAGAGCACTGAACAAATAATTCAGGTAACCTCAGCTGCACTCTAAATGAAAGTATGTGTGTGTAATATTGTTGCTATTTCTCTCCTGAGACCAATACCATATATGATAAGGTATTAATAAATAATAATTGTTCTTTCCCTCTGGGGCACCTGGCATTGGCCACTGTCGGAAGACAGGATACTGGGCTAGATGGACCTTTGGTCTGATCCAGTATGGCTGTTCTTATGTTCTTATGAAAATATAGAAATTAAATAACTATTTTCAAACAAATTATTACTTGGAATGAATGCACTAAGAAATTGCTTTTTTTTACCTTCCCATTCATTTCACACTAGATTACATTTGCATTTCAAAGTTGTTTAAGTATCAAATACTTTGTTCTTTTGTCTGGTAATAATTCTCATATTAAAAATAAGATGATGCTTTAAGGTTAATTAAAGTTCATGAGAAACAAACTACATTGATATATCTATGCCTCTTTAATTAAAGGTCTGGAGATTTAATTTTTATTTTTCACTTGATGGGTTTGCAGGTAGATTCCCTTCTTGAATGGTGCAGAATCTCAGAAATGAAGAGCTTTGGGTTTTTTACAGGATGGACTTTATCAATAGGGACAATCGCCCAAATAACCTCTGAGGATTGCACAGTGAAACTCAGGAGGAGTGGGGACAGGATAGGTGGGGTTAAAGGTGTTATTAAGCCACTTTTGCCCAGTATCTGGGCCAGTATTTTTAGCAGAGATGGGCCAAAATGGAAGTCGTCTATCTGAAGTGGGTCTCTCTTCTGGTATGCTGATGTTTCAGTACAATTACAACCAAGTTATGAAGACAGCAGTTTTCATGTATTCCAGTTTAATCCATGTGTACACATACTCATATAATTAACTCTTTAGCTACTGAATTAAACACTATGAAAAGGCACAGTTAAAAAAAATTCAACCCAGTATTTTCAAGAGCAGTAAATGGGGTCCTGTTGGGTAACCCAATTATTTGGAACCAGAGCCCATAGCCTGGGTAAGAAAATTTAGCATAGGTGACCCTTGCAGAAATAATGCAAAACCATCAGCAGTTTCAGTCCTGAATCCATTGTCAAGCTTCCCAATGTCAGGAATCCTGGGGTTTTCCCAAATCACTCACGGTGTAGTTGGAGTTTTTGAGGTAAATTAGTAGCTCTGCAACACCTGTTGCAACCACATACATGTCACACAGACAGGGGCGCTGGAACAGTTTGTATAGTGGGGGATGCTGAGACCCACTGAATCAAACTGTAAACCCTGTATATGAGGGAAACCACTTCAAGCCAGGGGGTGCGGCAGCACCCCTAGTTCTAGCACCTATGCACACAGATAGAACACTTCATAGCCTTTTAAATAAATGAATACCTTTGCACGAGCCACATAATCTACTTCTTTGTAAAATACTTGTAACTAGAATTGGAAATATATCGTCCTGTGAAAGCCAGCCATCAGCAGAGAAATCCAACTGCCAGTGGTGCAAAGCTGGTTTGAAAGTTTCATAGGTTCCCGCAATAGCGAGTACTGTGAACCGGGCTTACTTGTTAAACCTTGAAAGCTGAGCCAGCGGTGGCCCAGGACCCCTCCTCGTTCAGGAAGAGGAGTGTGCCCTGGTGGCAGCAGTGTAGGGGCAGGTTCTTTGCAGACATGCTGTCATCCTGTTGAGGAAGGAGTGGTGGAAAAACCCTTAGGCAATGAAAAAAATAGAAACATTCTCAGGGCTGACTCTTCTTGAGGCTACCCCGGTTAACTCCATTTTGTTGATCTAAACGACTAAGATAAGTATGAACAACGGACTTTTTTTTTTTTAATTAGATCATAAATGGCATCATTCCCATCAGAACTTTCTTTAGAGTAGCTTGATAAATTGACCTTAGACATTAAATTCATGACCCCGGACAGTATTTAGGAGTTTGATTACAGTATTTAGTTTATGCCGTGTGCTTGTTTCTATGACTAAGGATTTGGTGTTTGGTGTTTGTAATATTTTTAACCCCAACTAATTCTGTTAGTGCGTTTATTGTGGTGTTTTTGGATTTTATGTTGTCAAACTTCCACTATTAGTCCCCCAACACTGGGCAAAGGTCAGTTTTATTACTGAGTTGCTTGTTTATTTTCAAAATATTGTACATTGCAAAGCTAGATCTACCAAATTTAGCTTAACTGTACATTCACAGGGCCTGATTCTTCCGACGTACACTGATTTTGCTGTGGTAGAACTCAATAAGCCTCAATAGAGCTACTCCTTGTTTACTCCAGGGCATGAAGAGAAACAGACCCATAATTTCTAACAGCAGCTATACAAGCTAGTGCAATTCCAGATTTTTCTCAGAAATGATGCAACTGTCATGTTCTCGGATATCAGCTTTTTTAAGTGAAAAAGTTCTGGGTGTGGTGGGGTCCTAAAAGTCTTACTAATGGGATCATGTGTCAAGAATTCATGATTATTAGCGGAACCAAACATGATTGCTCATTATCCCTATACTGTGTGTACAGACTTAATACAGAGCCTCTTGCACATCATCATCATAACTTACTTAATTGACTTTCATAAGTCAATGAGTTACACTGTCAGTGTTCCAGATGTTTGGAAGGTATTTTCACTCTAAAATAAATACCGACAATAAAAAATAGCGCTCATCAAAAAAAGTCAACATTTGCTCATATTTACTGCACAGTGGTAGCTGAAATGCCACAGTTATTTCCTATACGAAGTACAAGGAAATACTGTGCAATGATCCCTACCACTGGTCACTAACCAGGACCTTCTGCACCAAAGCACAGACCTCTACCACTTGAACTAAGGAAGTGTTTCCATTAGTGTAAAGCAATAGTAGACCACTATCCCCTGTCTAGACTAGACTAGCCACTAGAGATGGTCATGATACACACGCTGCTGTATCTCAGCTATGGTGGTGGAACCGAGAAAAAGAGGAGCTAATGCCCCTGCAATGGAAATATTGTGGGGGCTCTGTCCCTTTGTAAACTTGCACATACCTGGGGATGGGGGCAGAGGTGAGAGCAGGACCCAGAGGGGCTAGTTTGGCCATCACAGGAGCTAGGATCAGGCTGGGGAGCAGGGAGTGGGACCCAGAGGGGCTGGAATGGGCCTGGGAGCTGCTGGAACCACTGGGACCTTCCTTCTCAGCCAGAGGCCAGTTTCCTCAATCCTCTTCTTCCACTTCCCTGATGTGTCTCAGTACCTCCCCTCACTCCCCCTCTAATACCTCCCCTCCTTCCATTCACAGGGAGCTTCCTGGTAACTCTTGATAAATGTTGGCTCCCAGTGACCACAACTGTAGGTCAAAGTGTGTTGAATGTTATATTTTCAGGCTGACACACTACCATAGGGGTCAGTTGTGCCTGATAGGCACTGGCCTACGTTGGGCATGGCATAAAGCCTACCTGTCCACAGTGTGCTCCCAGAACTTCCCGCCATGCAGGGGAAGCACAATGTTCTTACCTCTGTTCAGGGGCTGCAGTATACTCTCCCAAGCATGCCTGGCTCAGTTTGTTTTCAATGCAAACCAAAAACTAAGAAAAGAGACAGATTTCAGATAGATAGAATTTGCATTACCCAGTGAGATCCCTGGCACATATCCTTCTCCAGAAGTGACCAACACATAATTTAATAACACATGGAAAAAGCCTTCTATAATGCATTTATCCAATTGTGCAATGCTGCACATGGGGTGTATCTATTCTATTCTATTCTATTCTATTCTATAGAAGTTCTTATACTGCGCTCATCACTGTCGTATGTGAGCACCTTCCCGTAGGGCATTAAGTGACGTGACTAACCTCTGTCCCCTCTGGTTTGTTCCGTCATCCTCTCCCCATGGGGAAAATTGTATGTGCAGTGCTGAGTTTTATTTTTGTAGGGTTTTTTTTTAATGTACACACTGCTAACTGTGTGTGTGTGTGTGTGTAAGTACTTCCCTCCTGACTGCTGAAGCAATCAGCTTATACTCTGAAATATGATACTTTTACCTTTCATGCATCATGTTTAACTACAGCTGTTATTATTGATTATAAAATGATCCAGCCGCTACTTAAAATGCAAAATTAAATAGAATCTAAGTAATGAACACTAATGCCTTGGAGACCGATTGCGAATGGCTGAATTTAAGACTTAATGAGTAAATGAACCACGACATTGTTAAGTATTGCATTTCAGTGGTAGAGAAAGACATCCTTGTGTACAATTTATAAATGTAGATCAGATAGTTATGTTTGTAAAACATTTGGGGATCCTTTGGGTTGGAAGGTTAAATATAAGGATCTTATTATTGTATTGGGATATGTTTAAGATCTTTATGATTTCATATATGAGGGCTATTATATATCTATATAACAGAGCCACCAACTTCAAATATATTAACTGCCTGATTTCATGCTTTTTCTTTCTCAGGAATTACAAGATCTTCTTCTAGCCAAGATGAAAGCACTGGAGGCTGTTGAGGAGAAAAATCTTTCCCTGCAAAATGAGATCAGTTTACTTAAAAGCACGTTTGGAGGAGAAAAAGGGTAGGAACATTAACTAAGCAAGGGCTATTTAATGACTACATATACTCCAGTTTTGTTGAACAAAACTTTTTAAACCTTCTTTGTAACTGCAGCCCCAGGTTTTAGTGACTTCTATGGTAACCAAAGAGCATGACCATCCTCATAGCTCTTAGTCCTTCATCAAAGTGACGCAGATATCAGAGACTGATTTCTCAGAATGACATAGTTGTAATGACACCATGTATTTAAAGAAATGCCAGATGATATAGCACTTGTTTACATTGTTATATAAGGAACCACTAAAAGTGTAGGAGTGTAAATGCTCACATGCTCCTTGGTTAACTTCTCTAAAACTTATCTCTGTAGAATCACTTATATTTTGCCTTAAGCCTCCTACCTTTGAGGATCTGGACATCAGCTAATACCTACTTTTGGTTACCTTTGGTGCATTTTTATTTCAGGAGTACATATAAGCCTGTGAGACAGACTTTGCATCTGGATCTAAACATTCCCCAAACTTCTGGACTGGCCCTATACAAAAATTTGATTTAAGTCCTGTAGCAGGGCTTACCCAATCTGACTTTAGGCCTTGCTACTGCCTCAGTCTCCCCCTTCTTTCTCAGTTAAGAAAACTTCATGCTGCAGGCGTTTCCTCCATAATTCTTCTCTTTTTGGGAGGAGTAATGAAAGGTTCCAAACAACACACATCTTGGCTGCCTTCTGTAATACTGACAGATTGCTTTGGTCCCAACGTGCTGTTTGTTTATTTTGAGTATACTATAGTAGAGTCAGTCAGCACACTCTACATCTTAAGCGCTGATGGAGCAAGATGGATATTTTAATATCCTCCCACATAATTCAGTATTAAGACTAGAGAAGCTTTGTCTGGACAAAGGATTGCATTATATGGTTCTAAGACTAATACTGTAATGCCTCAGCCCTGTGGATGGTATTCACTGCCACAGAGGTTTCTTTACTAGCTAACAGAATAAGAAGGGTTGTCAGTCTTTGTGCAAATTTTCTGTGAGCATTCTGGGCCAAATTCTGCTCTCAGTTGCACCTGTGCAAGCTCCTGAGTAACCTTACTGAAGGTATTGGAATTTGGATTTACACCAATATTGCTGAGATGTAGACAGTAGATAACTAATTTCACTTTGAAACTCTTCATTTTTATACATGTGAAAGTGGTGTTCGTAAAACGAATGGCCTGAGCAAGTGTATCAACTTCTAGCCAAATGAAACCCAGATGCTTTCCCTTTTAGGGAAGGCAACCCTTTTCCTGAAACTGTAGCCTGAAAGCTCAAGTCACATCACATCAGCCTCAGCTGGGTTGGCATGAGCAAAAAGGTTTTCATTGGGCTATTTATACACACATGCTTTTTTCTTCCCGTGTAGTTTTCAACAGATGCTACCGTACTGTAAGATTTCAAATTGAGATATTTGTTTTGAAACTTCTGTGTGTTGGAATGTTACATGATTCCTAGAGCTACTTACACAAATTGTGCTGTCTGTTACATTGGTGTAAATCTGGTGTAACCTGCGGATGTCAGTGAAGTTACTCAGGATTTACAATTGTAAAAATGAGAAGAGAATTTTGCCCACTGTCTTTAAGCTGATTGGTTCTTTGGGAGAGGTGCATAAGGGCATATGCTGATTCATCCCTGCTATATATTGCTGTGCTATATGTTAACACTTAGGGCTAGGTTGTAGCTGTGATATCACAGCTCTGCCTACAGGGTGGTGAGAGCAGCACTACCTCAGGAGAAGCATCAGTGTGTGCCTCAGAGAGGCATAGTTTTTGCCTAGGCTACACAAAAGGGGTGTGCACCTTACACCAGCTATTAGGTTAGTGTAAAATGCTCCCCACCTTCCCTTACTTCCTTTCCTCCCTGCACCCTTTTTGGCATCCCAGTTAGGGGTGGGTTTTTCAGTTTGTTGGCAGTTATGAAAAATTAAGGGGGTGGGGGAATCAGTTTGGGTTGAACCAAAATTGAAACAAATGTGAAAAATTTCAGCAAATCAAAAAAAAATTATTTTGGGTCAAACAAAACTGTGACAACTCCTGATTTACTCCAATGTGTGTGAGATCAGTGTGACAGAGTATTGGGAATACGTGTTTGTCCAGATAAGAATTCCACTTGGTTTATGGACATTGTTTGTAACTATAACCATCATTGTAAATGAGATCATCCATTATGTAGCAGGAACTTGACATGTAGTTGGGAAGCTATGTCTGGAAAAATGTGACAGAGCAATGAAGGACGATCAACACTGCATGGCTCTGCCCTGGTGAAACAATGAGGTTGCTACTGGCAGGGCCAATGACTTTGAATGGACTCTCTACACAGAAATCTGCCTGGAGGGAAGGGGCTGGAATCCCACCTTCTCCCCTCTCTGTCTAAATCTGTGCTTAGGAGAGCTGCAGTTTCTCCACCTTACAAAACAGTGATAGTCTTTTTTTAAAGGTAGCTGCTTCCTAGACAAAGGAAGTCCTTTCACTGCCAGAAACAGATGACCCAAAAGGAGGAGTGGAGCCAGAATGGACTTAGCTTCTCCTAAGGACTTGGACCAAACCCAAAAGGGGTAGATGAGACTGGGGGGATTGTGACCAGGAGCTGTTGTTTTCCATGGATCTGTAACTCTTTTATGCTTTTTAAGAGTAAAGTGTGTGTGTTTAAGAAATTCCTTTTCTAAGCCTATTTCCTTCTTTACTGCCATGGTGTCCCTGAAGGGGTTAAGTAGAAACCAGAGCCCCCATCGCCATTCTGGAGGGGAATGTGTCTATAGGTACATCTACACTGCAATAAAATATCCGTGTGGCATGGCCACAGCCGGCCCAGATCAGCTGACTTGGGCTTGCGGGGCTAAAATTTGCAGTGTAGATGTTTGGGTTCGGACTGGAGTCAGTTGACCTGAGCTCTGAGACTCATTGCCATGTTTTTTTATTGGAGTTTAGAGATATCCTACGTGATTTTGGGCTCAGGAGGGCTGTGGAAGTAGTTCTAGGGTCCAGGCAGGAGGATCCCGGGGTACTGCTGCCCAAGAAGGGTGTCAGACACACGGTCTGCACCTGGCAGTATGCCTGAGAGACCCAGAGCTAGGCACAGTGGCCAGTCACTACCCAGACCCCAGGAGCTTAGCATCACATGGGATTCAGTGGTTGGATCCCATAACAACAGACTGGTGTCCATCCAGAGAGTGGGACTGTCAGGTTGTGACAGCAGAATTGGCCCCAAGATATACTAGATATGTCAGATGTATGAGCATATTGCCCTGAATGGGAGGGTTGTGCTTCCTGGATGTTTTGGATAATTTATGCAACATTAAAGAGGATATAAAAGTCAAGAAATAATTGTAACAATAATCAGCTAGTAGTAATCATCTTGAAAGGAGGACCAGGCTGGGTGTTATTCTATTGGTTGATATTGAGGTTTCTTGTGCCTATACGAGATTCTGCCCTAGTTTACATCCCATCCAGCCCCATGGAAGTAAATGAGGTTGTACAATATATACATTGGCCCTGAGCAGTGAATGTGTTTTCCATGGACTCATTGTGAATGAACGTAATTTCACTATTTTTAATACAGAACGGAGGCATCCCATTTCCATTTGGCACCTAACCTGTCATACTCTGGTCACTCCCCTGTTACCTCAACTCCCATCATAGATGCATCACCCCAGCCTTCAGAGAATGTGCTCTCACCACAATCACTTCAGCCTGCTTCTGCAGCTACTATGACAACTGGAATCACAGCAGCACCCAGACTGGCCAGATCCGCCAGAGCAGATCCGACTACACAAAAGAGAGTTTTAGGTAAGCCCTCAAAAACTCTTCTATAACTCATACCTAGGACAGAAGATTGTAGCACTTTATATGCTCTTATTCCCCAATATTTCAACTGTGCCGCATGATGATTTCTTACCGTGGTTGGAGTGATTTCCCTGCATGCATTGCAGCTATTAGAACTTTCAAACTAAGCAGCCTGTATCCTTGCCTACCTTCATGCCTCCAGCTTCCACCCCGGACACACCACACAATCCATCATCTACAGCCAAGCACTGAGGTACAACCGCATCTGCTCCAACCCCTCAGACAGAGACCAACACCTACAAGATCTTCACCAAGCATTCTCAAAACTACGATACCCGCACAAGGAAATAAGGAAACAAATCAACAGAGCCAGACGTGTACCCAGAAGTCTCCTGCTACAAAACAAGCCCAAGAAAGAAACCAACAGAACTCCACTGGCCATCACCTACAGTCCTCAGCTTAAACCTCTCCAACGCATCATCAGTGATCTACAACCCATCCTGGACAATGATCCCTCACTTTCACAGACCTTGGGGGGCAGGCCAGTCCTCGCCCACAGACAACCTGCAAACCTTAAGCATATTCTCACCAGCAACCACACACCGCACCATAACAACTCTAACTCAGGAACCAATCCATGCAACAAACCTCGATGCCAACTCTGCCCACATATCTACACCAACAACACCATCACAGGACCTAACCAGATCAGCTACAACATCACCGGTTCATTCACCTGCACGTCCACCAATGTTATATATGCCATCATGTGCCAGCAATGCCCCTCTGCTATGTACATTGGCCAAACTGGACAGTCACTACGTAAAAGGATAAATGGACACAAGTCAGATATTAGGAATGGCAATATACAAAAACCTGTAGGAGAACACTTCAACCTCCCTGGCCACACAATAGCAGATGTAAAGGTAGCCATCTTACAGCAAAAAAACTTTAGGACCAGACTCCAAAGAGAAACTGCTGAGCTTCAGTTCATTTGCAAATTTGACACCATCAGATCAGGATTAAACAAAGACTGTGAATGGCTAGCCAACTACCGAAACAGTTTCTCCTCCCTTGGTGTTCACACTTCAGCTGCTAGCAGAGGACCTCACCCTCCCTGATTGAACTAACCTCGTTATCTCCAGACTGATTCTTGCCAGCATATTTATACCTGCCCCTGGAAATTTCCATGACATGCATCTGACGAAGTGGGCATTCACCCACAAAAGCTTATGCTCCAATACATCTGTTAGTCTTAAAGGTGCCACAGGACTCTCTGTTGCTTTTTACAGATCCAGACTAACACGGCTACCCCTCTGAAGTTTAGGCATAGGCAACCCTGGTTTTTATTATGACAGAGGTTCTCTCTGCACTACAGTTAGAACCATATTTGGGAATCCAGTTACAACATAGTTGTTCCCAGACATGTTATCGCACTCTATGGTTTTACCTGTGGTGACTAGAACAAGCCATGTTACAATCATGTTAAGAGAATTGTAATATAGTCCTGCAAGTATGGGGTAATAGCATGGCTCTGTGAATGCAGTTATAACTAGAGCTGGTCAAAAATTGGAATTTCTATCCAGTGGGGAAATTCTGATATTTTGACATCGTTTTAAGCCTAAATTGGGACAAGAAGTTTGAAATACTGAAGTTTTTCATGGAACAACCAATTCTGTAAATGTTAAGACGTTTTATTTTCACTGACATGTTTTGACAGTCCTGAATCTAAACATTTCATTTTGGTTTGTCGAAATGAATCAAAATGTTTTTGTTTGGCTTGATTCGATATTGAACTGCATCTGACTGAGATGCCACAGTGCCTCCTGGGAGTGGTGGTTCAGGTGCCTAATGTTCCCATTGTCCTCTCTGGATCAGGGTCCCCATCCAGACTACATCTCCCATGATGCCTGGTGATTGTAGGACTCCCATGATGCCTGGTGACAGGTCAACAAGAGGGGAGACAGCTGTGCATCAAGGGAGATGTAGTCCAACCAGGGAGTCTAGCCCATAGGAAAAAATGAGGGCATGAGGCACCCAAACTACAACTCCCTTGGGGTACTGTGGCCATTTAGGCAGATGCAGGTTAATGTCAAACTGACCTGAAATGAAACGTTTTGATTCAGTGTGGCAATCCAAAATGTTTCAATTTGGGTTGACCTGAAACCCCAAAAAATTGTTTTGATTTTCCCAATGAAAAAAAATAATTTTCAGCAAATTCAAAATTTTCTGTAGAAAAAAATGTTTGATGAAAAATTCTGAACCAGCTCTAGTTATAACTCCTTGTCTGTTCTGGACTGGCCAGCATGACTTAAATACCGATTCTAGATCCTCCACCTTCTCAGTGTATTTGCAGGCTGCACGCATTGTTACATGAACTGCAACATTTTACATAGTCAGATTGTGCGCTGCCCTTGCTCAGCCACAACAAGGATCAAGGGAAGCACAAGAAGCCTCCCTCTACTAATGTGGCTGCTCAGGAGAAGTTCATAATAGTGGTCCCAGCTATGCTCATTCTTGTTGCCCCAAGGGAAGTGAGAGTGGGTAGGGAGGACCCAAGACTGTGGCCCAGCCCAGCCACCACACTAACCTACAGAGCAGAGCCAGCGTGCTGGGTTAAACAGTCTATGTCAGCCTAATGGTTGATTCAAATGATGCACCCCCTGTTCACAGAGTGCAGCATGGGGGAAGACTGTGTCTGCCCCGGGGGCAATGTCCCCCATCGTTCTCAGGGAGGGTGCAACTCTGCATCCTCCCACACTTAGGGCTTGTGGCTAGGTGCCTTACTTTAGGCTATGAATCCCATTGGATTTCAGTGGGATTTGGGTGCCTAACTCCCTTAGGCCCTTTTAAAACCCCAGCCTTAGCTCATAGTATTCAGTAACACAGAAAAAGCCGCCACCAATGTGATCCAAGAAACAAACTGACTTAACACATCACTAAAAGCCAGCTTCAACACAGTCTGCTCATTCTGCTGCTGCCTGTTCTGCTGCCACTCTGAATATTTGATCTAACAGAGACTCTAGCAAGCACAGAGCAACAGAGTCCAACAACTCATCTAGCTTCCTGATTATGGAGCTCATTAGCCTTTGCCCCATTTCTTCTCCAGCAAATCCCTGAACACCATTCTTTTGTGCCTCTTAGTTCGACTCATCCTCTGCAAAATTCCCACTCAGTTAAGCTGCACACCTGCCATGGCTTTCTGTTTAGGCCACTGTGCTGTAGCTTTTACCCTCCTTATTACTCATATGTTATTACATTTGGCTGCAACTAATTCTTCACTTGCCAAGACAAGGAGACCCTGTTTCATTGCCCAGCTATTGGAACTGCTGGTTCATTTGAACTCTACCACAGAGAGCCTCGAGGGAGGGTACTACAAACAAGATATTGAAATGGGGGCCTGCACTGTGTCACTGCTTTGGTGTAATGAACTGTAAGATGGAAAAACAGAAACTCAAACATCTTGTTTTTACAATCAGAAAATCCCATTGGAAAAAGCAAATCAGCATGCCTGATTGGAGCCAGCATTCCTAATACAATGGGGAAGCTAATTCATGCAACATTATTACTCTCACTGACACAGTAATTTTGCCAAATCAAGAAGGGTTTGAGTTTTAGCCATCTAAGGGACAGATCCCATAAGTACAGAGCACCTCCTGTCAGGTAATAAAAACCTTAAATTCCCATGGAAATCAATGAGAGTTGAGGCTGCTCAGCACCTGATAGGATCTGCATAGGGATAGTCCACCTGGCAGGGCATCCCCAACGCATCTCTTTGGGATCCAGAACTCGGGGAGGTCTGAAAAGCAGCACTGAGTCACAAGCACTGACAGGATCTGGGGGGAAGCTGATTTTTTATGAGACTTCGGTGGCAGACCAGGGGATCTCTTTGTGAGAGAGGGGTTCACCAGCAGCATTCACTTCTCCCCTGCCCCAGATCCTAAAGTCTCAGTGAGAGTGGGGGTGCACAGGTGGTGCATGGACACACATTTTTGGGTCTTTTGCACAGAGAGTGAAAAGAAAAGTCCAAAGAGGAGAGGATATTATCACATTCATTCTGTAAGCGGAAGAGAGGCTCAATATGTTCAGTACCAACTCACAGCTGATGCTATACCTAATAGCAGCACTGAAATTGCAGGATGACATTTATACTGCCAGTGGCATAATTTATTGTTTTTGAGCTACCCAAGGTAATTCCTCCAAGGTAATAAATCGACATGTCACTAACAAAATACTCACTTTGCCAGCTGTGTTCCATTTTATAGCCATAGGTTTAAAGCTTCCTGAGAAAGGTTCATTGAGCACCGTTTTACATTAACAACTCAAGGAGGAGAAAGGAAATGAGATTATGCAATTTTTGTTACAAAAATAAAAGATGAAAAATATTGGGTTCTTTTTTATTTTGTCGTTTTGTATCTTTTACATCACTGCTTGTCTGTCTCTCTTGTTCGTTCAACAGCTCAGGGCAGCACTAATACCGAGTCACCAAAGTGGTCCTGTTCTAGGTCTAGTTCCCTCAGCCTTGACACGAATACATTAGGACAAGGTCAGGACTATTTCAGCTCTTTGTTTACTGACTCAAAGAAGAATGCTCAACATCCCGGACCCTTGGAGAGACAGGGAAGGACACCGTCAGCAGCTGAAGACATCATCTCTTCTGCATCCAGGCACAGGTGCTGTGTTAAGCCATCAGATGTCTAAAGACTTCATTTGTTTTAGCAGTAGGACTCTGTAATTGTGTTTTTATGGGGAACTTCCTTTCATTTTATTTCTGAAGGGCAGAGATGGTGTGCCTATACAGCCCTCTGTAATATCTCCATTAGGTAAGCAGTAAGACAGCACTTAGAACATAAGAGCGGCCATACTGGATCAGACCAAAGGTCCATCTAGCCCAGTATCCTGTCTACTGACAGTGGCCAATGCCAGGTGCCCCAGAGGGAGTGAACCTAACAGGTAATGATCAAGTGATCTCTCTCCTGCCATCCATCTCCATCCTCTGACAAACAGAGGCTAGGGACACCATTCCTTACCCATCCAGGCTAATAGCCATTAATGGACTTAACCTCCATGAATTTATCCAGTTCTCTTTTAAACGCTGTTATAGTCCTAGCCTTCACAACCTCCTCAGGCAAGGAGTTCCACAAGTTGACTGTGCGCTGTTTGAAGAAGAACTTCCTTTTATTTGTTTTAAACCTGCTGCCCATTAATTTCATTTGGTGGCCTCTAGTTCTTGCACTATGGGAATAAGTAAATAACTTTTCCTTGTCTACTTTCTCCACTTCACTCATGATTTTATATACCTCTATCATATCCCCCCTTAGTCTCCTCTTTTCCAAGCTGAAAAGTCCTAGTCTCTTTAATCTCGCCTCATAAGAGAGAAAGGCCAAGCAATTATCCACAAAACATGGGAGAATGTCAAAGGTTTGAAGGTTTTGTGATGGGTTGGGTCACAGATACCCCCTTGGGACTGCCACCTGATGTGCTGGGACCACCTCTGAGCCCATTTTCCCTAGCAGCTTGGGACTTCAGTACCCTTCCTTGTTGAGCCAGACACACTAGCCTGCTACAAACACAGACCCAGATCTGAACCACGTCCCCCAAAAGCTGCAGGCTTAACTGAAAACAGCTTAAGAAGTGCTCTTGTCTCTAGCACCCAGATACCCAGTTCCCAATGGGATCCAAACCCCAAATAAATCCATTTTACTCTGTATAAAGCTTATACAGGGTAAACTCATAAATTGTTCGCCCTCTATAACACTGATAGAGAGATACACAGAGCTGTTTTCTCCCCAGAAATTAATTACTTGCTCTGGGTTAATTAATAAGTAAAAAGAGATTTTATTAAATATAAAAAGTAGGATTTAATTGGTTCCAAGTAATAACAGACAGAAAGAAGTAAGTTACCAAGCAAAATAAAATAAAACACGCAAGTCTAAGCCTAATACAGTAGGAAACTAAATGCAGGTAAATCTCATCCTCAGAGATGTTCTAATGAGCTTCTTTGACAGACTAGACTCCTTCCTAGTCTGGGTCCAGCAATCACTCACACCCCTGTAGTTACTGTCCTTTGTTCCAGTTTCTTTCAGGCATCTCTTTGGGGTGGAGAGGCTATCTTTTGAGCTATCTTTTGTCCGAAGACAAAATGGAGGGGCTTCCAGGGCCTTTTATATTCTCTCTCTTGTGCAACATCACAGCCACAAGATGGGGTTTCTAGCCACCTGGGCAAGTCACATGTCTATGAATGATTCCGCTTTTTGCAGGCCAATGCCATTGTTTACATGTTAGTTTGAACATTCCCAGGAAAGCTCCCAGGGAGACTGGCGTCTCCCAAAGTCCATAGTTAGTTAAGTACTCCCAATTACTTGAATAACCCCTTCACACTATGTTGAACAAATCTGTCTATGAGCTTCCTACAGCAAACACTTTAAATACAAGCATAGAGCCAACGCTCAGAACTTCAGATATAAAAATGATACATGCATACAAATAGGATGGATGAATATATTCAGTAGATCATAACCTTTGCAAAGATATGTTACATGGCATATCTAGCATAAAATATGTTCCAGTTATGTCATATTTACACTCATAAGCATATTTCTATAAAGCATTATGGGGTGCAACATCACAGGTTTGCTTAAGATAAGTCACCAAAAGTGTAGAGGTCAGACTCAGTCCTGCACAGCAGCTGCCCCAGAGGTGGAATTCACCCTACGTATCATGACCTATAGGTTTTGAAACCACGTCTGCAGGGCTCCTAGGGGGTCATCACGCTCCAACCCTCCACCCAGTGGTTTATTGGCATCAGCTAGAATCAGGTCTCCTTGAAGCCTACTTCAATTAGGAGGCTCCACCATGGGTCCTGATTGGTGAAATACCAGAGCTCCTGATTGTCTCATTTCCCCTACTTAAGCCATGAGGAACAGGAAGTCATCTGTACAACTGGGCTCCACCCTGCTTTGGACTGCTCAGCCAGTGCTGCCTGCTCTTGTGTCCTGGTACTGACCTCCTGGTTTCTTGACCCAGCCTGATTTCTCGTATCTTACTCATGTTTCCTGACCTTCTGGTTCTGGCTGGTGTGGGGACCAGGCCCTATGCTAACCATGAAGCCCATCTGCCTACTTTACAGCCCTGATGTTGGGAGAGTACAGCAATTATATTCACCATCCTTCTTTCAGAGTTTTGTTGCAGGAGGGTCACTAACAAACTCTGGTTAGTGCTCTAGAGGGGCCTTTCTGGTGGAGGCTGCCCAGAAAAGGAACTGAAACTCTGCATCTCCTGGCTGGTTTGGCCCCACTCTCTCTTGGGCTTGACCTGCTCATTTTTGGTAGCTCCAGGCCCATGAATGGAACTGGGGCTGCAGGTGGCTTGTGGGGGGTCCCACAGTTTGGGTTGGACCAGCAGAACCTGAGGTAACCCAGGGAGTGAACTGAGTCCTAGATGGTTAGACAAGGCTAGTCCAAATTTATCCAAACCTACTGAGAGCCATATCATAAAATATATTGGCCCCAGGGATAAACTCGTTATCCCAATATATTTTCCTTCCATCTCTAATTTAGAATCTTAGATATTAGAGATGGGGAAGACCTTTTGGGCCAGATCTTCAATTGGTGTAAATTGTCTCAGCTCCATCAGCTGCAATGGAGTTAGGACAAGTGACACCAGCTGAGGATCTGCCCCATTAGGTCCAATGCATCCCATACCCGTGTGGATTGTCCCGTACAGTATATTTTCTAGTGCTTTGTCCAGTACATATCATGTTTGAGGCCCAGACATCTTAATGTTAGGAAGCTTTTCCTGATATTCAGCCTAAATTTTCCCTTTTTTAATTTCATCCCATTGCTTTTAGTTGAACCCCCTTGTACCAACCTAAATAATTCTTCTGCCTTCTTGTACTTCCCAGCCCTCAAGCATATCTGCTCTATTACCATATCTCCCTATCCCCTTAGTGATTCACGAGCTAAACCATATGTATTTAACTCTTTTTAATCTTTTTTCAGAAATCAATCCCGCCAGCCCCGAATCCGTTTTTTCTGAACCCTTCTAGAATACCTTCCAAAATGTCAATATTTTTCTGCTAACTAAGTGCCCAGAAATGAACACAGTGTGCCTGATTCTGATCTCACTTACACCAACATAAACCAACAGCAACTTCTTTCTAGTCCATGGAGTTACACTAGTGTACATGAGAGGAGAATCAGGATCAATACTGCAGGTGGTTCCTCCACAGAGCTGTCCAAAGGGAATCTATTACCTCCTTGCTCCCTACTTTGCATATGCAGCCACAATTGGAACAGCTTATTTTCCCCCTACAGTGTCACATTAACTATCCTTATTCTAGCCTTTCAGCATTACTGCTTTCCAGGCTTTTCCCTGCCGGTGCATTTTATGCTTTTGATTATTTCCCCCGTTTGTGTTATTTCTCTGTCCCTGGTTTTCTCCTCCTATCACGCATCTCCGCCCAATTTAGCATTATCTGCATATTTTATTAACCAGCTGTTTTACTTCCTCTTCCAAATCATAAGTCAACATGTTCCATGAGACGGGACCTGACACCATCCTGTAGGGGACCCCCACACACAAACACACAAGACACTTCCTCATGGTTTATCATTATTATTTGTTTACAGTCTCTCAGTCAGTTCATGTGACAGTATTTATACCCAAGACAACAGGAACTAATACTCTGAGAAAATTCTATAACAAATGCTTTATTCAATTCCAAATCTATGTTACCTGCTGCTTTCCCTTTCTCGTTAATTTTATAATGCTTGCAATTTTATAGACATTTCTCTAGCAGATAAGATCTTCATAAATCCCTGGCACTTACTGCTTGTGTTTCTATAACTAGACCTGTGTAATTCAGGACATTATGTGTCTAGCTATGAAAAAATACCTTTGAAGGCCAGTTAGAAAGCTGAAATTGTTTCCAGAATTCTACAGCATTTCCAAATCCTGAGATATGCCCTACTGTTTGACTGGGCAAGGGCAGGAAAAGTCTAGCTAAATGCAGAAAGATAAGAGCTTACTTTCTCCTTCATGAATTTCCTTGTATTGTGAGAACTGTTTTCCAGTGGGGGATTATCACATCTCATCTCACACAGAAAGCAGGAGAAATAATTAGTTCTGCTAATTGTAGAAGATAAAGAGTAAAATGTGGTGACAGTTCGCTTTGTGTGTTGTTAAACTTGTTTAATGCATGAAATAGGCAATTTTTTAAAAATTCTCATTTGATTAATTACTGACCATCATGACACTCAACTGCACCAGCACACCAACTCCCTTTTGAGCACACCCACATTAAAATTTAAAAATACACTCACTCTCAATGCCCACCTATATAATGGGGCTGCCTGCGCTAGCAGGGGACTAGACTTGGTGACCCAAGAAGTCCCTACCAATCCTATGTCCCTATGTTCCTATCAATTTGATGTTCCCATCAAATAAAATTACGCTGCAATGCACAATCATAACTCCAGCCTGTTGATTTATAATTGTATTATATAACATATTATGAATAGACATGAAATGGGGTGTATACACATTTCAATAGTATTTCTGTATAGCTGTGTTTAGTAGTGTATATTTTTTGATGGAAGGCACAATGTCACTAATATTATTTAGTACACAAATTTTGTAGAAGTTTGTGTTTTTGATAAACTAAGATATTTTAATCAGCAGTGTGATTTTATAATTTTTAATTCACTTTAAATTCGTTTGCTGTGCGGTATGCAACAATGCTAAGGTTGTAATTTTACGGTTGCAATTATTACTAAATTATTAAATAATGGAGCGGTGAAAGGTCGGAGTTGAGGCTGTGCACTGCAGTGAGATTTTCAGTTTTTTTCATGTATGCAGCTAAGGTAGTAGTATTGTTGAACCAAAAGTATTAGAGTATAATGACAATAGTGGCCTAATGTTTGGAGACTGGGTTGTGTTGGATGTGAACGTTGTCTTTTAACTATTTCCTTGCTGTTCATACTTGAGCAACCTTACCTCTAATTCAAGTAAGTTTTTGTGTGTTTTATTGAGTGTAAGAAAAATGGAGTGGAAGCACTCTAAATAATGTAAATCATCAATATCTATTTTGCAGTAAGTACATCTGCATACAATAATTAGAGCTGGACTAAACCAAATCCAGATTGCCAATCCTCTAAACTTTAAAACAATTTGGATCTGGATCCAAACTTTATTTCTCAGACCCATATCTGACACTAATATGTACAGGGTATTTTGCAATCCTAGACAAATTTCAATATTTATACCGTCCCCCCTCCCCCCAGTCCATTTCTGCCCCATCCTGCACCTACAGCTAAATCCACTGGCAAATAAATATATAGGCCTTTATTTGCATCCATGTAAATAAACCTTTTGTCCTATATTTCTCCTGTCATAGTAATTGTACCAACATAAATCTTTCCTTTCAAACATTAAGACTTCTGGGCTTAGAAAAAGGTGGGATGTTTTCTATTAAAGGGACACTGTTAAGTTAAAAATACAAGGCCAAATTCTCCAGTGAGCTGGAAGCTTTGTATTGGCATACCACCCAACAGTCCCGTTTCCTATCCCCCGCTTCTTCATTTTTCACCAGTCTTGTGTCAGAAAGGCCCCCATCAGATTCTGACCCCACCCCTATCATATTTACCCTTCCTATACCTCCAAGTGCCTTTAAGTCCAGATTCAATTCTTGTCTAGAAACAAGTCTTCCTCAAGCACCTACCGTGCACTGCCTGATTCCACCTAATACCAACTGGTACCCATGTTCCTTCGGATACACCTAATACTTTTTGCCCCCACTCTCTATTTCCAAATCCTACCCTTAACATCTATCCTTCCAGTCCCCCATTTCTTACCATACCTCAAGCACACACCCGGTCCACATGTCCCTCTTGATTCTCCTGCCCAACTTCATATTTCTGTTCCACTTCCTTCCTAGTCCAGATTGTCACTCTGCCGCTGGCCTGCTCAAAACTCCTTTTTGTTTTGTTTTGTTTTTTGTGCTACCCCATATGTCCTGGTATCCAAGATTTTCTCTTGTTCCTTCACGTGGCCCAAGTTTCCTCCAGAAGTAGCCTCTCTTTGATGGAATGGGAGGCACTTCTAGCAAATTTTCTCATGGGGAGGCAATATGGCTTATCCTTCTTATCCTCATGCTGCAAGTGAAGTCTTTTTGGCCACACAACTTGTCATCATCTACACCTGTGCCAAGTGTGAGAACACAGGGAACATCTTCTCATTCTGTGTTTGTACAGCCCTTACCACAATGGTCCATGATTAGCAGGGGCGGCTCCAGGCACCAGTGCACCAAGCGCGTGCCGGGGGGCGGCCTGCCGGTCGCTGTGGGGGTGGCAATCAGGGAGCCTTCGGCGGCATGCCTGCGGGAGGTCCACCGGTCCCGCAGCTTCGGCGGCAATTTGGCGGTGGGTATGCCAAAGCCGCGGGACCGGCGGACCTCCCACAGACATGCCGCCAAATCCACATTACCAGCGGACCTCCCACAGGCACGCTGCCGAAAGCCGCCTGACTGCCGTGCTTGGGGCGGCAAAATACATAGAGCCGCCCCTGATGATTAGAGCTCCTAGGCACTACGGTAATACAAATAAATAATAATGATGAATGATACCAGACCAGAAGGGCAGCATTTTACCCTAGCTTTGCATCAGTTTAAATCATGGTTCACAGTGCAAGGTACCATAGAGAATCAGGCCCTTTTTTCCTATGGGAAGCTCCCTAAAGGACTCCCGCTGCTGATGGGAGGAGCAAACAGACTTGTATGCATGTTCTCTGCCCAGAGAGAGAAGGGACTCAACAGAGGGCCCAAAGATGCAGCAAAGGGAAAGGAAGGGAGGGTTTCCTACATGCTACTTAGCACAGTATTGTGCTCAGTAAGCATGTATTCTTAGTTTCTGTTGGGGGAAATCAGGGACAGCTCCCACCCCCTCCCTTCATATCTGTCACTAGGTGCTGCAGACTGCAGGCAGCCTCGCAGTCATGTGCAAGCATGACTCCCTACTGTGCAGCATGAATGAATTTTTGGATGGGTGGGTGGTTTTTGCCACTCACCAATTATTATTTTGCCACCTTACGCAGACTCATGTCTATTTGTGCTGTAGGGCCAGGCTTGAATACAGGCACAAACACCTACATATTAGACTTATCAGCAAAACAGAAGGCGGCATGCATAGCCAGGGCAAAGACATTACACAGACAGGAGATACAGGCAAGACATTACAACAAGGGCTAAACAATTAACTAAATCACAGTGGCTGTCTCATGGAAAATTGGATGATTCCTCAGACTTCTTTCACAACTTGTCTGATAAGACCAGTAATGAGCATTATAGTCCAGAACTGTGTTTTAAAAAGAGCTTTCTTGACATGTAAGTTGCTTAGAAGAGGACCGCTCCAGAGAGAAATTTATTTTCCAGTGCTTGCTAAAGATAAAGTGTTCCTCTGCTCACTCGAGGAGTTCCTCTGCTTTCTGCAGATAAATCACAGACCCTTGTTTGCTACATGTCTGAAATGAAAGAGAGAATAGGTCTTAATTGTTTTAACATGTATCAAAGGGGTAGCCGTGTTAGTCTGGATCTGTAAGAGCAGCAAAGAGTCCTGTGGCACCTTATAGACTAACAGACGTATAGGAGCATGAGCTTTCGTGGGTGAATACATCCGAAGAAGTGGGTATTCACCCACGAAAGCTCATGCTCCAATACGTCTGTCAGTCTATAAGGTGCCACAGGACTCTTTGCTTTTTTTAACATGGTGTCTCTTGGACATTGGTTAATAGTACAACTTCCCTTTCCTCCACAAAGGAAAATAAAAATGAGGGACAGGTGGAAATCAGGAAAGGAGGGAGAAAATACATAGATGAAGTCAATGACTGAGATTTTCAAAACTGACAAGGGGATTTAGCCACACAACTCCCATGAATTTTAATGGCCAGATTGTGTGGTCAGCCTTAAAAATATTAACCGACATACATTTCGAAAATACAAATAGCAAACTGTGATGATTCATTTTTTTTAAAAGTACCAATTAATTTCCGATGGTAATGGGGGCCCAAAAATATGTAAGATAGCTAGTATGTGTTGATATATGTAAAGCACACTGAGTTTTTCAGATGAAAGAGTCTATGTAAAGTGCAGATTATTACTATTGTAAATAGTCTGCATACAGTATGTTTATTATGCAGACATCAGGGCAGGCTGTTATAGTTAAAGGCATGTGTATTTCATTTGTGAAATGCTTTTAAACCTTTGATTCTACTTTTATTATTTAGTGCTATTGGCAACTTAAAAATTGCAGAAGTTCATTCGGGTGGTCATTTTGTGAAGATCCTTAACTGTTCCCCTGATAAAGAGGAGGGCATTGGGGAGTATACACTCCAGCAAAATGTCAGCGGCCATCCAGTAACAGTATTCAAATTCCCACCAAGGATCAGAATGAAGGCCAATTCTACTGTAACCGTGAGTACAGAAGAGGAAAATGCCAAATGAACACCGAGGGGATAGCTAAGAATTTACCTTCCGTAACTCAGCTGCTCCTCATTCACTGTAGTGCAAGGTCAAAATTTCAAACCTAAAATACTTGAAGTCAGGCTCATAAATCCATATTTTCAGAAGTCTGAGCACTCACAAATCCCACTGAACTCAATAGGAGCTACTAGACTCAGCACCTTTGAAAATCAGAGCACTTTTATTTAGGTGCCTAAATGTGGATTTAGGAGCCCAACTTTCAAAATTCTGCAGAAAGTTTGAAGATTCTGGCCTGATATCATAAAGAATCTTCCCCATTTCCCACTCTCCCCTCTAAGCATTGCTTCTGTAAGATCTCTCCATACTGCAACATAATTTTCAGTACAAAGAAATTGGTCTGAACTGAAACCCTGGATCTGAAGGTCAATCCTTTAGAATGCTGCTTGCAAAAGTAAGTTAGGATCATTTTACACAAGAAAAATGTTTTCATCATGGTTCCTGTTGCTTTGCAGAGCATGATGCAGAGATGTTGTTAACATCTGTATAAAACTAAAGGAGAAAAAATTACTGGAACTGTCTGTTCCCTCACTGGGAGGCTCCAGAATCAATCGTGGACTGGGATTGTAAAGGTCTGTGTTGCAGGCCTATTAAAATACCCAGCATAAATAAAAAGAAATCACCTATTGTTAATCTGACCCTCAGCAATATTGGCTAAAAATCCCCCAAAACCTAATATAAGTGCCTGAAAAATATGCCCTCATAATTATCTCTATTAATCCACTAGAGCAGGTCTTCATGACAATAAGTATAACCAAGCCATTGCTACAGATCTTGAAATGCAGTCCCTTCAGCTTTGATTTCATGGAGAAAAGCCTTGTGAGAGGGAAACCTGCTGCTTCTTACTGAGTCTACACACTTCATAAACATCCAAGGACCATCCTCTCTATATCTGATTACTTCCTTTGGATTGTTGCAGGTATGGACAGCAGATGCTAAAGTGCTTCATAAACCTCCATCAGATTTCCTTTGGAAGGAGCAAGATAGGTTTAAAACAGGCCCAGAGTGCACTACCATTCTTTGTGAACCTAATGGTCAAGTGAGTGTTCTGATTCTCATGAGCTGTTTGTCATGTAATTAATAGAATTGCTAAATTCTTCTACTCATCCTTCTTAAAAGGATGGCCGGATGTAAGGATAATTGTAAAGAGTAGCAATGGCATGCAGAGTTTTGGCAAGCAAATAACCCAAGAAAGTGCCAACGAGCAGGTGTACTGGTATGTGGAGTCTTGAAGCTTAACAAACCCAACGTTCCGGGTACATTGAATATGTAGCATTGAATACTTGCACTTTACAAGTGGGACAGGACAAAGGCTTTCCCCCAGTGTCACCCACTCCATACCTTTTTGAAGTCTGTACTTGACTATATAGTGCTAGATCCTGTTGACAGTAATGGGTCTATTCATGTGCTTAAAGGTAAATGAGCATAAGTGCTTAGCTGGATCAGGGCCACAGTACTGAGCACTTTGCAGGATCGAGCCCATGAGCCCTAATTGAGCAAATTACATAATGTGGGTAAATCTTGGCTGTGAATCTTGCTTGGGTTTACAAGTTAATTACTGAGACCTTGAGGACTGAAGAAAGGGGCTAGATAGACAGGCTGGCAGTATGAAGGTCTACTATGCATAGAACAGGTACAACATGGGCCCCGGCAGTGCAAGTTTTCTTCAGATCTCCTTGCCAGTGTGCTTCTTCCTTAACCTGGAGAGCCCCCCCATAGGGGTGAGAAGTTCAGCTATCCATGTCTATTCAGTCCAGGGGCAAATCCTTTAGCAATTACCAACAATATTGGCAGTTGTGGTGGGTTTTGTGAGGTGGACCTTTGTCCACTTAGAAATGAGACTGAAACCAGACTTAGAGTGTGTCTAAGCAGCAAACTAAAACCTGCATTGGCTCGTGCCTGCCGACTCAGGCTCACGGGGCTCGAGCTGCGGGGCTGTTTCACTGCTGTGTAGACATCCGGGCTCGGGCTTAGGCTCAGGCTGGAGTCCAGGTTCTGGGAGCCTCCCATCCTGCAGGGTCGCAGAGCCCGAGCTCCAGCCCGAGCCCAGACGTCTACCCAGCAATGAAACAGCCCCACAGCCCGAGCCCCATGAGCCTGAGTCGGCTGGTGTGGGCCAGCCGCAGGTTTTTCTTTGCTGTGTAGACATATTCTAAAAGTAATCTAGTGGCAATGATTTTTTGGCCATTTCTAGCCTGAGCCAGACTTGAACCAGTGACCTGGAGACCAATTTCCTCAAACTATCCAATCTCCCTTGTACAGTATTAATCTAATTTACTTGATACAAGCTGTTTTTTATTCAGATTTTTATACTCTTTTCCCCTCTCTTCTTCCTTAGTTTGGCCAAACTTGCCATTGCATTGGTAATGTGTCTGTTTAATTTAAGTCAAGCAGTTGAACTGCAAAGCTGTTACATTATGAATCCACCCTATAATTTTAAGAACTGAAAATGGATTTTAAAGATCAAATCAATGGCTGTGATTTGATGCCTTGCCATTATTCTCTGGCTCACACCCTTGAATATAGTCAGCTCAAAAAGATCATAGAACCTTTACCTCCTCGCCTCTTTCTTCCCTCACCCCCCGCACACACTATTCCTTGTGTAACAGAAACAATAAACTTGATGGTTAAATGAAGTAACTGAATGAGTGGTGTTTTTTTCTTCAGGCTGTTGCTTGGTACACACCTATTCACTGGAACAGAAAGCAAGGATGGAAAGAGCGAGAAGATGATGAATACCTTAAGAGCAGCAAAAAGCCAATTATACCAACAAAAATGCAAAGAGATGAATGGGAAAAGGAACCAGAGTCTGTGATAATTGATAAAGAACAGGAAGGGGCTGTCCAAGGTCGAACAGAGGAAAGCGGACCGGTTTTCATTAAAAGGTAACCATCCATCTATTGACTGTACTCCATCGTTATAATATAGCACTATTCCTGGCTGGCTGTGGAAGCAAATGAGCATCTTGCAAAGAAAGTTGTTACTAGGATTGGATGAATTGGGCAGGATAAAATAAGAACTGACCCGAACCTTCAAACAAAATCCAAACCAAACTTTGTTTTAGGTTCCATGCAAGAGAGCAATAGTTTCAGTCAATGAAGTAATGGGCCATTTTGCAAGAAAACCTGAGTTCATTATATATTATTCACTCACTGAGCACACAAACGTGTGCCAGGCAACATCCAGACAGAAAAGACACATTCACTGCCTCAAAGAGCTTATAGTCTAAAGGTTGTGATGTTCATAGAATTATTCACACTAGTTTGTGAAAAAGGTGGATCTAAAACTCATAGTTTCCTGCTCCAGCGCAATGCATCTTAATCTAGGCCATAGGGTATTTTGAAGGGGAAAAGCAGCATAGGCAGAGATTTAGTTGTTGGATCCTTGCAGCATGCTTATAATTTGACCAAACCTGGGCAGATTTTTTAATGAGGACAGTAAAAGGCCCCTCTCTGCCCCCAGGAGTATTCCTCTGCTAAATTTCAACCTTCTGCTCCAAGCTGTGGGTAGAGCTGTTTAAAAGACAGTTCAAAAAAATTTAACATTGGCCAAACTAACTAGTGTTCTTGGAAATGGTTGAACAGTTTTGCTTAGATTTCCAAAGAAATTCAACCTGAATCAAAGAGTCAGTATGGAAAATTTCAGCCCAAAGGGTTAAAGTTTGGCAAAATTATAAACAACTGTAAATAAGGGATTATAATAAAGTGTTAGACAGCCTTAATATAGATGCTACTACTGCTCCACCTATAATACAAGTTATATAAAATCTATGTGTACTATACATATATATTAAGATATATACAATATACAGAATACAATCATTTGTATTTCTGTTTACAGAGAAAAAAAGATCCCAGCAACCCTGTTCCCTACTCAGAATTCTTGGTGCCGAAGTCCAGCCTCTCCCACGCACCCTCACTTTTCTCTGCTCAGACCATTAACCATGGGCAATGATGGCAGCAGTCTATGCAGGCAGTCCAGGTGTCAGTCAGCAAAACCTGACCCAGCACCAGGTGAGTTAGAGAGCAGTGCTCATAGAAGGTTCAAGATGCAAGATATGGTCTTCAATAGGCAGAAAAGTTTTGAAATTTGCTGGAAGAAAAAGATCAGTAGTTCTGCAGTAGTAATGTATACGTGTTATCACTCATATCATACACTTATCCTGCATGTATAGGTTTTTAAAAATAAGTGTTCCGTGAGGTTGTTGTTGTTGTTTTTGATATGAGTTGTTTGCCGTTAGGATTGACTCTTTTTAGAAAATCATAATACCAAGATTCAGTGAGAGAGAGACACTTGTATTGACTATGAGTTGTTAATTAGGCATTGGTGAGCATCCTGTGTTTAACTCTGGTATTTCAAACCCAGGAAGTTATTGACAGACTGGAAGGAATTCAGACAAGAGCACCAAAGTAATTAAGAATATGAAGAGATTGATTTATGAGGAAAGATTAAGAAGTTGTCACAGTTGAGGGCAACTGCATCTGTATTTCCCCCTCTGTGGTCCAGCAATGGCATCCACTCTTAGGCTTCCGGCCCCCCAGCCATCACATCTCTTAAGTAGAGACATACCTTTCTCTCTCCTCCTCTCCTGATTGGGGTTTTTCCAGGCTGCATAGTTTCCTGCCTACACTGTGACTAGCCCAGCTAGTCAGCACGCCTGCTTTGCTTTCTCCTCAGAGGCTATAAACAGCATAATGGCCCACAGTTAAGTTACCACACAGCTCTTTCCAAGGAAGCACATTTATTTTTAAGGTAAAAGCATTACACAGAAAAGATATTAAAAACAAAAGAATCTATATCCTTCTAATAAGTTTGCAAGAGATCACCCCTCATTCCAACAAGGGCTCTGACAGGTAAACAGTCGTTCAAACCCCAGATAGGGATTTTTCTGTTGTTACAAGTTCATAACCACCTTGGCTCAGAACAAGGTCGCCCATGAATAGGTCAAGTCCTTCCAACTCTTCCCAGGAAGGATTTGGGCCTACCTTGGACAGATGGTCCTGTCCATTTGCTGGATCAGAAAACAGGCCCTGAGGTTTTGTCTGCTGGTCTCTAGAGAATCCAGTTTATGCAAGTCTGTCCAGGTGGTGGTACCTCTTCAGAGCTGTTGCACGCTGAGTGAATTTGCCTAATTGCTCTACCCGCTTCCGCTGTTCTTAATTCCTAGAGGGCTGTGGTCAGCCTCGCCTATTGAATTACATACACTCCATGGCCCACAGTGATACATACAATTAATACAGTAAGATCTCCCAAAGATATTGCAAAAAATTCCTATATCTGTCACAGAAGTAAATATGTTTGACAACCAAGGGACAGACATGATAACTGCCAAATGTTTGGAAAGATAAAAACACCAAGGAGGGAGAAGAAGTGTCTGACATGGTCCCAGATAATATAGCTAGGAGGAATGGGACCAAATTTAGCACAGGAAGTTCTAGGCTGAATGTTTCTTACCAATGAGCTCTAGTAGTCTGTAATATAGTTTCCCAGTGGTAGTGGTGAAGGTTACACCTGAGATTTTTAAAGCCATTGTGCTAGGGTGCTGAACAAACACAGAACAACATTATGGTCCCTGCTCCAAAGAGCTTACAGTCTGGCGGTTTTCATTATACATATAAAGATCTGGTGCTTTTACAAAAATCCTGCGAAGAACTTGGCCTCAATGATATCTTAGCAATGGGTTCCACAGGCTAATTGTGTTTATAAAAAACATAAGCTCTTTGAGGCAGGGACTGTCTCTTTATTGTATGTATGTAATATGCCTAGTACAAAGGAACCCTGGTGAGATGCTACTTACTAGGAATACAATAATAATGTATACAAATGTCTTTTCTTTTATCAATTTCAAATTTGTTGCCTTGCAGTTTCCTTGAATGTCCCCTTGTACTTGTTTTGGAGGAAGAGTAAAAAGGAATGCCAATTTTCCTTTTTATATACCATTCATTATTTTGTATTTGTCTATTGTGTCCCCTCTTCCTCATCGCTTCTCTAAACTCAATAGTCTTTTCAGTCACTCTTCATATGGAAGTTTTTTCCATATAGCTAATAAATGTTGTTACCAATCTCTGAACCACTTCTATATCTGCTACATCCTTTTTGAGATATTAATAATAATAACAGCACAGTACTCCAGGGGCGGGTGTACCATAGATTTGCACAGTGACATCATAATATTTTCAATATTATCTTACATCCTATTTCTTATGCAACCTAACATTTTCCCTTTTTGACTGACACTGCACATGGAACAGAGGTTTCGTTGAGCTGTCCACAATGACCAGGGCCGGCTCCAGGCACCAGCTTCTCAAGCAGGTGCTTGGGGCGGCCGCTCTGGAGAGGGGCGGCAGGTCCAGGAATTCGGCGGACGGTCCCTCACTCCGCCTGGGAGTGAAGGACCTCCCGCCGAATTGCCGCCGCAGATCGCGATCGCGGCTTTTTGTTTTGTTTTGTTTTTTGTTTTGTTTTGTTTTGTTTTGGCTGCTTGGGGCGGCCAAAACCCTGGAGCCGGCCCTGACAATGACATCCAGGTCTTGTTCCTGAGTGGTTATGGTTAATATACAGTACGGTTAATATACAGTACAGTTACCATACAGTAAGGTATATGAATAGTTATTCCTTGCAATGTTCATTTATCAGCATCAAATTTCATCAGCCTGTCCATTCACTTAGCTTTGTTGTCCATTCACTTAGCTTTGTTAGCTCCTTCTGAAGTTCCTCACAGTTTTCTCTAACATTGACCCACCTAAATATTTTTGTGTCAACTGCAAGTTTTGTCACTTCAACTCTAACTTGCTTTATTTGACTAAGGAATAATGTATTTCCTGCTTATACTGTTGATCTGCCTAATTATATTCCTTTACACTTAGGGTGACCAGATATCCCGATTTTATAGGGACAGTCCCGATTTTTGGATCTTTTTCTTATATAGGCTCCTATTACCCCCCACCTCCTGTCCCGATTTTTCACACTTGCTGTCTGGTCACCCTATTTACACTTGATGCATTAAGTGTCCCCTCTTTCCCTTCAGCCTCCCCTGTGGGATGGGGAAGCAGCTACTGACACAGCTCACAAGTTCCAAAGGGACTTTCTTGATATTTCAGTTTTATCACACAGTTCAATGTATCTCCCTTGTTCCCCAGAAAAGTGCCACACTGGTTCCTTATTTTGTTGTTGCTGCTGTTGAATTTCGCTCTGAATCAAAATATTAAGCTGTGAACTTTTCAATGGGTTTACAAATAGCCAGGGCATGCATTGAAATCAAGCACTTTGAAGTCTCAGCCAAACACAAGAAGTTTTGTCAATCAGAATTTTTTCACGTCTCCAGTTGCTGAGAAACACTAATTAAACATTCAGTGGCAAATGGAGAATGAGGGGTAGGAAGGGAGGGAAGGGAGAGGATTTAGCACACATTTTCTATAAAAGGAGCCATGCATTGCCCACACCCCTCATCTTTATGCAGTGAAGCAAGCTCATTTTTTATTCCCTGTTATTTTTCCCCTTCTGTCTTTTTGTCACAAACACACAGGGCTCAGTTTTCCACCCCTCACTCACTTGGAGAAGCTCTTACTTTCATGAGCTGCCCCAGTGACTTTTGGAGTCAGTGGGACTGCCCATGGAAGTTCTAGTTAAAATGAGTAACGGTTGCAGAATCAGACCCATATCTTTTATTGTAGGATGCTGACATGTGGCAGACAGGGCTGTGTGATAAAATGTGCCCTTGTAAATGAGGTTATATAAACACACTGTTGCACCTATGGAATAAACTGTACTAGGGGCATATATAATGACAGTGTGAAGGCTAAACAAGTGATTATGGCAACAGCACAGGCAAAGAAACTTTATTGTTTTCTCAGATAGATCAACTAACTACCCCAGATCAATCAAACATTCCTGTCAGTATCAAGTCACAAATTACAGCACCCCGATTTCTCCAAAATTTCTCTCAATATGACTGACAGCCATGCTCCACCTTAACTTGTGTTTGGAAAGCCTGCTTTCTCTGTCATCTCTAATTCCTTGAGGACAGACTTCCAACCTTCAAAACCTTAAACTGTCTCTTCAGATGAAGAAATACTGAAACTGTCCCATCCTCTTTTAAGCCAATCACCCAGAATTCAAACACACAATCTCACTGTGGTGCTGAGGAAGGCAGAGGCCTATACATTTAAAAATAGCCACTCTGGAAGCACACTATAAAAAAGAATGGAATTTCATCTATTAGGCACTGGGGGGGCTGTACAGTTATTTTGCAAATGCAATAGAATCCTGATTTTTCTAAATTCCACTATCTCAACCTCATTATCTAATGACCTGCCAGTGTGTCTACCTGCCTGCCAAGCAAATTGCCAGTCTGTCCGTTCTTAAAATGTCCAACCTGTTTATTACTTACTGCTTATAAGGGACTACAACCATTTGTATTTATGTGTCCTTGGTGTGCCAGAGAAAGCTGGGTCCTTTGATCCTATCTTGGAAACTCAAGATAGAGGAAAGCCTTGGGAAAATTCTGAACATTAAGTATGGCATAAGAAGTTCAAAAATACAGAAATTAAGAAAAAATGCAGACTTTGGGCCAGATCCTCAGCTGATGTAAATCAGCACAGCTCTGTTCTAGCCCTATGATTCCTCCCCGGGATCAAAGAACATAAAATTATGAATAGTCAATGATGCTGAGAGTGATTCAAAGATTTATCTTTGGTTCTGATGAGAGAGAAGAAGAGAGCTGCTCTTTCAGGACCCCTGCTTAAAAAGAAAGCACTTCAGTTTTGCTTGAAGCTAAATGGTCAGGAACCAGCAATCATGTCTTAAAAAGACATGGAAAGAAGTGGCTGAAATTGTACAGGGAATAGATGAGAGCAGCTGATGAGGTTGCTAGGCTGTGCCATACAATGGAATGTCTATAATGGCCTGTCACATGAGCCAATTTAGAATGACAATAAAACAGGCTTCTTGGTGTTTATTGGTGTTGCTTACCTAGTAAAAAGTTGTCTCTATTCTGGGATTTGGCACTCACATACTCTGTCTCCTGCTGACAGAGAGATCTAGAGAGTGCTTCTCTCACGTGAATATATTGAAACAGACTGGTCCACTATAAGTATCAGAGGAGCACCTGAACAAATGGCACACTCATTGCCCTCTTACAAGTTGATCTCTGTGTTGAAACTCTGTTTGCAAGTGCAAGGTTTGCCTCTGAAAAGCAATTCTGCTCCTGGATAACTTGGCAGTGCAACCTGATACTTGAGATACCATGAGTAGGGATGGCTCAGTATAATGTATTTTCCTGCCTTCTGATATAGCATGCCAACTGTGACCAAAGCATACTATGGAGTATGCTTTGACCAAAGCATACTATGGAGTATGCTTTGGTATAAAATAAAGTCCACAAAACTCTGCTCTTGGATGATAACAAGAAAGTGTCACTTTATGAAATCATTAAGCGATCAGACTTACAAGTGTTGTGCATGTCTTGCAGAAACATGGGATCATTAAAAAGCTGATTCTCTGGAGAGAAAGCATGGGTATTGTCAGGCTCTGAGATCAGCCTTAGACCAAAGATTGAGGACACCGACAAAATTCAGGTTGAAACTTCAGCTAAATGAAGTGAAAAACTTGCTTCTTCCTACCAGACCCAGTTTCTGATAGAGAATGTGTGAAGGATCGTAGATTGCAACAACAGTGAGCAAGGACACTGCCATCTCTGTGATGAGACAGTTGTGGAGATAGTCTGACATGGACACGGAAAGAGCATGAACTAGAGTGAATGTGACAATGAGGAGAAAAATGACACAATCTCCACGTTAGTTTCTGCACATTCGAAAGCTGTGGAGTATTTGAAAAAAATGTATGCTGTACACAGAAAGCCAGAGTGACTGAAATCCTGTCTAGCATCGGATGCTCCCACAAACTCTTCACACAAAGTCTTCAAGAGATGATTTGATACTTTATTATAATAATGGGGGGGAAACACTTTCAACTGACTTTTTCTCACAAAAATGAAGTGTAGTATTTTCAAGGTACAAAGGGCATTTAGCTAATGGGAACTGAGTGCCAAACAGCCATTTATGCCTTTGAAAATCTCTCCCTCCACAAATGTTTTTCAGTGCACAGGCTGAACTGGTTGTATGAAATGTATAAAGTCACAGTATATAATCCAGATGCACTGCATTTATTTTATGTTAATTGAAATCCATTTCAATTTATTTTTAATTGGCTCCCTGATTAATGAACACATCTGGTATCATGCAATAAGGATACTACCCTCCTACATAAACAGGGAACAACAGGAAGAAAACAAATATCTTGCTCTATGGTTCCTTTGAATATACTTTTTTGCCCAAATTTTCAAAGGACTGTGTTTGAACTCCTCCCCTGCCATCTTGAATTACTCACCTGTGTAAAAATGACCACTCCAACCCAACAAAGCAACATACATTCACCTAACTAAGCCCTCCTCCTAGTTAGCTCTCCCTTAACTTCAGATTCCTCCTGCTGTGCTCCCTTTTGACCAACCAGGGATCAGGGATATGTTCTGGAGTTTGGCCCCAGATTAACCCACCCCTCCCCATGGAGGGGTCCTTCATGTGTGGATCTCCCCTTGTCTATGAAGAAATGGTATTGGGGTGCCTCTGTGGTACTCTTCCACCCTCCTCCAGCGACTCTCTGTACGGAGCTCTCTCTCTGTGCAGGCTGGGGTCTGTGCATTGGAAGGAAATGGGGTCAGGCCAGACCAAGGTAAGAGGGGCAGGCTGGGGCAGGACTGGAGATATACCTATCATCCACCCTTTGGTCCAGCAGAACTTCTTCAACATGGTGCTCATGCTGTATTAACCTTTTCACAGGCCCCTCCCACACCAGAGATCCCCGGGGAGTTTCTCTGGCAGTTCATTTTCATTGGAGCTTCACCTACAAGAAGAAAGGGCAGGCAGCCTCCAGGATCCTGACCCACAGTGGGAGTACAGGACCTTGTGTGGATGACCAAGGTCACATGCAGATATTTGGCGCAGCTATTCTCAGGGGGGCACATTCCTGCCTAGCCCCTTTCTCCCACTGGGAAGTTCTCTACAAGAAAATACTCAGAAATATCGGCGTAAAAAGTGGCTTTTACTATGCGAGGGGGCAATGGGAGGGGCCTAAATATATGTCAAACCGTATTATGCAAATATCTCATCCTTCCATCCTTTCTAAAAACAGTTTTTATCATGCAAACAAACTCCCAACCAGTGTTTAAACATTGGAACAGATGTAATAACACAACAACCACTTCCCTATATCGATATAGTTCTCTTTTCAGGAAAAGATTTGTTGGCCCCCATTACTCTGTTAAATCTGTTTTAAACATGCTTCTGTTGCAACTGAAAATTGCCTCAATCCCGCATGGATTTAATATTTATCTCACTTCTACTGTCATCAAGTATTAGAAGCAGGACTACAAAGAGACCAAAAAGCAAAGATGAAAATGTAATTTATTATAGAGAATTCAATACCGCCTCCTTTTAATCCTTCTGCACTACTGTGTGTGTCATGGGTCTCTTATCTTAGCTATTTGGTTCTGTTGACTCAAAGGTAAATCCAATTGTTTGACTATTCTCGCAGTTCGTTCTTTAAAATGTTCATGAGATGAAATAATTGAACTTAGCCAAATGTATTGTCTAAAGACAAAACAGTACAATAAAAAAAGGAGACATACCCACCCTCTTTTTGAGAAGCAAATTCTCACAGCATGTTCACCTAGCACAGAAGGTGTTCTTCAAAGATATGCATTTCAACTAGTAATTTGTAGGATGATTTTACAAGTTAAAAAACTCTTTATGTATCACTAAAATTGAACCCACTAGTTCCTACCAATCCTTAGCTGCTTGTTCTGGACCTTCCTTATCTTTGTTTTGGATACTAGCATTCAGGGCCATGAAGATACCTTCCTGGCTTGTACTGGGGCAGAACATTAATGTATTTTGCCTTTGACAAATGTCCTGTTTTCTAATGCCAAAGCTGACTTCAGCTTTGCAAAGTGTTGTAGGATATTGGACATGGGGCAACAGAGTTGTGTGGAGAGCATAATACATTCAGTTAACGTAACTTCCCAACAAGTACACCTCTACCCCGATATAACGCTGTCCTCGGGAGCCAAAAAATCTTACCGCGTTATAGGTGAAACTGTGTTATATTGAACTTGCTTTGATCCGCCGGAGTGCGCAACCCCGCCCCTCCGGAGCACTGCTTTACCGCGTCATATCCGAATTCATGTTATATCGGGGTAGAGGTGTATATATATGTAATGTATATTATATTAGTATCATGCCAATAATACCTTTTAATGTGGTGTGTACTATGCCTAACATATATGTAATATTGGCTAACAGTCCACACTGTGTCCCACATTTGGGTCTTGGCAAATAGACTCAGCTGTTGAGAGTCCAGCATGACAGTGGAAGTTCTCACTATGTGTGGGTGGGTGTCTGGGTTCGGATAAAGACTTCCTCCCCCGTCCTTGTCCCCCCAAATCTTTGCAAACAAATTGAAATTAGCCTTTTATTTTAAGTTTTAAAAAAATCAGCAATTATAATTATAATCATAATTATTCATTTTTTCCCATTTCTTTACTTTTGGTTTCTGACCAGAACCAGACGTAAATACCAAAATACCATGGGTGAAACCTTGGGCTTACTGATATCAATGTCAAAGCTCCCATTGACTTCCATGGGGTCAGGATTTCGGCCTATAGGAAGGGCTGTTCTCGCAAGATTTTCAATTCACTTTTGCAAACTCAAAAGGGCTGGACAGTTTAGATAAGCATGACCAATCATTCAAAGTTCACCCTTCACTTGTTTTCACCAACTTCTTGGGAAATTGAGTTACCTGCATCTTAGTGACAATCAAGAAGGTCTAGGTGACCATGGATTTATCACAAGATGCTTTTTATTTAAAACTTTTTCCATAAACTGAGAGGAAAATGAGGATTTTTGTTGTTGACTTTATTACTTCTGAGATTTATTTTTCTTTTAAAATCAGTGTATGGAAATCATTTTTGTTCCCACCAACAGGCACTCTGTATGCAGGAACCAGCCGGGGCAGAAACACAGCTACAGGAAGTTTGAATGGAAAAAGTAGAAGGCTGACCCGGTCAGCAGGGGTGAGTAGAGACTAAGACAAATTCCATTTTCAATAAAGCAAGAACAGTGGGGTTCAGAGAAAGAAAAGGAAACAAAAAACTTAATTTTGTTGAAAATTCTTTTTATTATTTGTGTTCTAAGAGAGAGGCCTACATCAGAACCAGTCATTCAAGACTCCAGATCTGACTCTGTATCGAAACAGTGCAACTTGATCACATCTATATAATGTGACCATTACAAACACCACTGTATTGGCAGGAAGTTTGCATTCACAACTTGAGAGTATGGGTCTGATTCTCATTTATAATGAGGCCCTTTACACTGCTCTGGTAGGGTTAAGCGGCCTTGAAGTGGGTATACATTTTCACCGACTTTAAGACCTCTTTATATTTACACTATCCTATAGAAAGACCCACAATCAAGCCCTGTATAATGGGCCCATCCCAGGCCCCTAAATTTGTAAATCCCCAAACTGGAAGAACGTTAGGCTCCCAATCCAAACTTCCTGGCTTGGGTTCATCTCTAATTTTTTCTAAAGATCAGTTCCATCATTTTTTGTAATATAGAATACTTTCTCTTAACTAATAGATACGTAAATGCAGGCGATACCTAGGAAAATGCTAAACATTGCTTCGGTATCAGACCCACATTTCTTAAGACCTGAGTCAAAGCTCATTGAAGTCTATGGGATTTGACTGTTAATGAATACTAAGCTATATATAAGATTATTATTATAGACCTATAGAATATGTATTATTATAACTCTATTATGGTTAATGTTCTGCAAAGTGCTATTTGCATTTACATGGCTGTAAAAATGTTTATCATCCACAGCCGGTCTATGTACACTAGACTGAAATGAAAAAGAAATCCTGGACGAATTTTTTAAAAATTGGATGTGCTTGCTTCTTAACTGTTAACATGATATAGGGTTCTTCCACTAGGTATAGGCCTGTGTAAATAAACATATCAGTGTCTCAGTTTTCCCTTCTGTAAAGTGGTAGCAATAAAGCATATCTCAAAGGGGTGTTGTGATGCTTGATTCATCAGTGTTTGTAAAAGCACTTTCATATCCTCAGATGAAAGGCACTTTAGAAGTTCAAAGTATTAGCATTAGTAACACTAGATAAAATGCCCTTTGGAGTATGAATCATGCTTTTGCCAAGAAACTACTTGAATTAAAAGAAGCTGATCATCCAGAAAGACTGTTTCCAAACATCTGTGTCTCTAATCTCTTGGTTTTCGAAGTAGCATTCAGGGTTTAGCTGAGCAATTCAACTTTACTGTCACAGTTAAAAATAACCCTACGTGATGTTTTGGAAATGTAGGGGTCTCTTTATTTGCAGCCAGAGATATGAGACTTGATTCTTATTTATACTGAAAGCCCATTACACTGACATATCCTTTGGGTATGTCTTCACTGCAGAGTTAACCCAGGCTTTTGTTTCTAGTTCCCTTCCTGTCCCCACCCAAAAACCTCTTCTGTTTGGTGGTGCTTTCAACCACAGTAGCGGGGGCTATAAAGCCAGAGTGAGGCTTTCATTTGAGCTGGGAACCCACCCGCTTTGCAGTGAGGACACCGGCTTAGCCACTCAAATGCTGATAATCCTCCACTGCCTTCCCAGAAGGACAGACAAATTCTCTCACGGTTCACTAGGAAAGAACCATAGAGCGGTTCAACTTACTGTAGCACCAGAAGCCATGGGATATGCCCCCAGAAGTCCTAGTGACATGCATGGGGGAGTGCAGCATCACTGAGGACACAGTAACTTGAGTGTGTCTTTGCCGTGTGGGGGGCTCACTCCTGTGCTAAGCTAACCTAGGTGTTGATCACTCATGCTCAGGGTGCTGGAACAATTTGTATAGTGGGGGTGCTGAGAACCATCGAACCAAACTAAACCCTGTATATGATAGAAACCACTTCAAGCCAGGGGATGCAACAGCACCCCCAGCACCCCTAGTTCCAGCACCTATGATTGTGGTAACCACAGTGAAAATGTATCTTTAGAGTAAATAAAAATGGTGCACGTGCATGGTGCAATGGTGATGTCATCAGCTAGCTAGGAAATTCTGAGAGGCACCGAAGATTCAGCTCTTCCGGCATAACCTTCAATGGAGGCACAAAATTCAGAAGCCCTAGAGAGTTGATCCCATATAACGGGCTTTTCTACACAGGAAAATTTACCAGGATAATTCTACTGCTATAGTTATACCAGAGAAACTCCACATGTGGAGACTTTTATTGTGGGATAAGAGTGCCTTTTTCTGCCTTTAGCTTATACCAGTTCCAAAGTGACATCAGCTAAACTGGGAAAAGGCACTCTTCTTGAATAATAATGTCCAGCTAGGGAGTTACACTGGTATCGCTTTAGCCATTTAAAGATAACAGCATCGTTATGCTGATAAATTTCCCTGCCTAGACAAGCCCCCAAAGTCCCTTAGAGAGGTTTTCAAAGTATATGTCCTCTGCTACATATTCATTTTTGAAAAGCTGCTCTCACTGGGGGTTAGGTGACTCAAGTGATTTGATAATGACACACAGAGCCTTTCATCTCTTGATTACCAGTTCAAATCCAGCCCAGGCTGATAGTGAGTGACTATGTGATGACACTAGTGAAATGAACTGATAGTCTGTTTCCAGTGGACAACTGTCCCTCCTGCAACAAACTAGCCTCCTTTGTTTGCCATCTCAGTAGACAGACTAAAGACAGAATGGGATAGACTGTGAATTGCTGTACCCCCAGGCCTCTAGAAGAGGCTCCTCAAGGGCAAGATAGAGACCCATTGTTGGGATGGAGTGGGGAAGCTTGCATTGACACCACCTTTTAACAGCCATAAATTCACTAAGAAAGAAAATGCAGAGGTCAGGATCCCATCTCCCTGCCTAATTCAGCCAAGTTCACAAAGAATTGTTCACGTTACTTTGTGTTACAATTTTACTTTTCTTTAGGAGGAGGAAATGCAAATCTAATGAACAATGGGATGTCCCAGGGTGTGGGGTCCAGTCATCAGCTCTTAAGAGAAAAAGAGAGAGAGAGAGAGAGACTGCAACTTGTAAGGAATCTTGTTGATTTTGAAAAGGATGAGCTCATTTGGAGGGACTTCAGATTATCTTCTTCTCCAGGCAGGAGCAGAGGCAATGGTCTGTTTCAGGTGTTTTCTAATAAAAAAAAGGCACTAATCCAAAAAAACAAAAAAAAAGAAAAAAAAAGGCTGCTCATCTTTTAGTTTGGCACTTACTGAAGAACGTAGAAAGTGCTAATTTCATTCTCTACCCTTTGCCACTAGCACTTCTGCAGCTGTTTCTGCTGTTCATGGGAACACATTTTGCAATAGCACATTGTGTCAGGCAATCCTACCTCCTGTGATCAAGGACATTTGCATTTAAAGACACTTTCTCATGACAAAAATATACCTTCCTCAAATGGGTTTGACTGCTTCAGTGCTATATAGACAGAGTTGGGAAAGCATTGAAAGGTTAAAATACTACTCAGATAATAGAAACAGAACCAGAAGTTCAGTTGCTCACCCAGCACTGCCGTCTGGCCATTGGGTGGAAGGGGATGGTGAAGAGGGCACTCCTAGCTCTTCCCAGAATTCTTCTGTGGCCCTGTAAGTAGTGGAGGATGGTAAACAGGACTGGCTTACCCCAGAGCTGCTCTGTGGAAGCAAGGGTAGAGAGAACAGGGTACCATCTGGCCCTGGATTTCCCGTTTGTGGTCCCCATCCTGCAATTACATCCTCTCATGCAAAGCCCCACTGGGGCTCCCTGCAGGTGCAAGGGTCTGCTCATATGGATCCAATTGCAGAATTGGTGCCTTTTTTGTTATAGCCCATGCTTTCAAAATGATATAGTCCTGCAGAATTGCTAATGCATCATTTTGCCTTTCCTCATTAATCTCTCCTTCAGTGCTATCTCCTCCCATATTTGAGATTTTTAAAAAATGAAACAAAAACAATCAAATGTTCAGATTTCTTTAAAAACTGTTAGAACTCCAATAAGCTCTATTCCTTTCCCCCATATTCTCTGTTGTGGACTTTGTGCTTCACACCCTCCTGCCCTATCTGATGTCGTTCTGAATGTTGTTGTTTTACTAATTTAGAACGTAAGATACTTAAGAAAGGGGTTTTGACTTGTTACACATCTGTAACACATCATGCAAATCTATAGCACAACATATATAACCTCAGACAATTATTAGCCACTCGTTACCTGAACTATGCAAACTTCTTTGAGATCTGAAAAACTGGACTGAAGAACAGGCACCTGTTCGTGAAACTTCCATTGTTCCCTGCTTCTAACTACAATATATTGCCAATACCAAGAAAACAGCTTTTTTTATCTATTGAGACCTATTCTCTACAGGGCAGGGATTATCTCTTCCTCTGTATTTGGAAAACACCCAGCAGCCTTTTGGTGCTAGGCAGTCTCCATAATAAATAATAGTAATCAATTAATCTTTTGTCAGGATATAAAGAAGATTTAAATGCAGTGTTTCCCCCCACATAATTCCCATGTTACACAGACAATGTGCTTTCTGTTTATTTTTGATGAGGACCATTCCTATGATTCTGACTGAAATACTTTAAGCAGCTGATTAGGTTACCCATAAGATCTCTAATGAACAAATCACAGCTTTCTTAGCACATTGCATGGTACCACATAGGAAGACAATAACATTATTTGAATAATGCAAGTTTCAGTCTCTCTTTAACAGCATGGATCTTTGTCTCTTTATACTTTGATTTCATAGGGAGGGCCCTCTACTGAATAAATGACAATTTTTTCTGACAGTAATTGAATAATTCAATCAAGCCTATCCAAAGAGATTGAAATAAAAGGAGGAAATTAGTTTTTTTTTCTTAAAAGTGACTTGGTTCCTGAAGTCTTGATTGAACATAGAGAGGATTGAATTAATCAGTGTTTGAACTAAACCAGGGGTTCTCAAACTGGGGTTCAGGACCCCTCAGGGGGTCGCAAGGTTATTTCATGGGGGGGTCACGAGCTGTCAGCCTCCAC